CTACAGACCGGCCTGCCCCGCCGGCCCGTTTTAACAACTCTAGTTATCAAGTCCAACCACGCTGAGAGTTCCCGAGTGCCGAGAAAACAAGCCCCGAGCCCTTTTTCCGAGCCGATTATTTTCGTTTTTCTCGAGCATGGTAAATCAATCATTTTTCCTTCTTTGGGCTGATATTATGTGTTCTAACAATTACGTATAATCAAGAATTAAGAATTTTAAAAGTATTGTTCAAGAAGAAGAAGATCAAAGAAAATCAAGAAAAGCAATCCAAGTTTGATCTTGGTTCTTTTTTGTGTTGTTTTTCAAAGAATTTTTAAAAGTGTTTAAAATCTAGCGAATTATTATGCTTGCATAAGACTTAGGGTAATCGACAATATTGGATTAAGTTCATGCCTTTGAGTTTCGATGAAAAAGAGAAGAAAATCCTGAGTTTTATGCATGTTTTATTGATTCGGGTTTATGTGATTTGATTCGAGTTAGATGTTGGAATTTATGCGACGTTTGTCATGTTTTGAGGTGTGGTAATTATGTTTAGTTAGCTTGATTTAAGTTGTTATCATCATGTTTTAAATTCATGAAGTATTGGAATGATTAACATGTATTTTTGCTGGTTTCTGTCCGTCTGTTCATGAGCTATTTTGACCTTCAAGATCGAGCTTCTTGATGTTGCAGTCTTCATGTGAATTGTAGTCTGTTTTGTTGGCTTTCTGTGAGCTCAAGAATGTTGTAGAAACTTATTGTCTTTTAAAAGTTATGACTGTTTTAAAATCAGTGTGCAAACAATTTTTTGCAAGTCTGGTAGCAGGTATTTATTTATGTTTGGTCCGTTTGTTATGTTCTAACATGCTCAGCTGAACTTTTTATGTGCATGAAAGTTGTAGTGATGTTTCTTAGCTTTCTGTATGTGTAAGAATCATGTTGAAATATTATATGTTGCAAAAGTTATGCTTGTTCGACTGAAGCTGAGTATGAGTGGTGTTCCAAATTTCTGTATGCAACTAAATTCTTTATGTTTGATCGATTTATCACCTATTAAATGTCCTTATTTGCATCTAAAATCTTAATGAAAGTTTTAGATGCATGTCTTAGAATCATTTTGGGATCATAATCATGTTTATAAAAGTTATTTGCTGAAAGTTATGTATGTTTTAAAATTGTTGCGCATGAGTTATTTGTTTAAATTTCTGACAGCATGTGAATTTGAACGTTGATTGAAATTTCACTCTCCAAATGCTCTTGTTTGATTCTGATGTCTAAATGGAAGTTGTAGATGATGGTCTTCAGATATTGTTAGAAAAAGAATCACTGCCATACGTGTT